GAGAGTACATGAATAAAAGGTCGGCTATAAAAATTAATTTTGAAAATTCCAATGACAAAAAGGAGAAGATTTTTTCAAGGGGAACGACAGTAACTATTAGCAATGACAGCGTCTTAATAATCGCTGCTGACAGCTATTCGTCTTAAAGTTTAGCTAAAATATCATGTTCGGAATTAAGAAGAACGCATGAAAACCTCAGTGATAGCGTTACTGCGCATCAACTCTTGCCTGAGAGAAATGCAGTTTCACTTTGCCAAGAGGCAAAAACGCGCAACGTAAAGAGTTCTTGGTCAAGTCAACTTGCAAGACGAAGCTTCATATCGAAGACTTCCTTGGAACAGAAGACGCGTGTGCAATCAAGGCGGTGATGAAGCTGACATTTGGCCACAAGTTTCGTTTTTTGATGGCATGATGTCCATTTACTCACCAAAATATTAGTGAAAACGGTCCTTGTGGTACGACTTTGCGAAGCACGACTGCTTCACAAGGTTGATTGCTCAGCGAGGCAGCCACTATTTTTAACATACTTTTAGATAATTGGACGCCGGTAAGTATGTGGAGCTCGATTTTTCTTACAGTTGCACAGAAGTTGCAGACATTTAATTCTACTGAAAATAATGAGATGATGTGAGAGGATTAGAAGAGTTAATGCGAACTCATACAGGTCTAACTAATTGAATAATTTATTTGTTTCAAAGAGTGCAAAGGAATTGTAGGAGTTGTGGAAACACTAAGCACTGTTTTCTGCAGACGGGCTGATACGAACACTTTCATTTCCATCGGTTCTGATGAGACTTTCGAGCGGATTCTCGCAACATTATATTTTGTCCATAGTCCGTACACTTGCTCGTTCTATTAATAGTATTTCCATACAATGGCAACATTGTGACATGTCTCCACCTGTATCCAAAATCTGAGACGGTCTGAGAGCTCAGTGGATGCTAAATTTGTCTCTGACAAAACTTGTGACTCGATTAGGGAGGTGGCTTTTAAAAGCACATTCGGAGGGGAAGGAAATTGCAAATAATTGATGAAATGATTGTGGAGACGCGAGTCTACCAGACCGTTTGTTCAGCAACAAGAAAAGAAAAAGAAAAAGCAATTTTTTTTCATTTTTAATCGACAGGTTTCCGAATTTTCCGGCTAGCCGTCAAAACGTATGCATGAGAGCGACAACATTTGGCTTCTTTAATACTTTCATATATTTCATTTGTGTTTTCAAGGAAAGCATTTCATCTAAAGGCTCCGCTTGACCATTTTGTCAGTGGGCGCACTTGGTGACATTTGTTGTGTCGAGTAGACATTCTTTAATACGTATCTTCCTCCGACAGTTTTGTCAAAGACGCCTCCACTTCTTTCACTTTCTTTCAAAAGAGTATGGACAACGGCATCGGACTGAGAAGTAATGTTTTAGAAGGACTTCCACAGTTAAGTGATTCATCCAGTGCGCACCTATTGGCAAGCAAAGCGAGGTCTAAAAAGGTAGGGCAGACCGTAAAATACTTCTCAGTCTTAAAGAAGTGGGCAAAATTGTAACGTTCTGAGACTTCCCTTGAAGACGAAAGCAAACATAATGAGGAGGGGACAATTGCAGTGGGAATTGGAGCTACTGACGCAATTTGGTGACCAACCCACTAAGGGTTAAAAACTAGATTTTTGAAGTTTGTCTATTTTAATAGGAAAAGGGTGGGAGGGAGAGAGAGAGACGAAATGCACAGCATTAAATGGCTCGCGACCTATTTTTGGACGTGAAATGAGTCGGTGTCGGTATCGTAGCAAAGGACAAAGTGTCCATAAACAGCTTTGTTTGTTTGTTTATTCGCCGATTACTTATGCAGGCAAAATAGTTCTCTCACAAGCCCTCAACATCTGCTGTCAAGGCATCCATTTGTTGCAATGACATGACTGTAGTACATTTGTTTGAGCTTGATGAAACCTTGAACTTGCCCGCTTATTTACAAGGTTAAAGTGGAGCGTTCTAAAACTTGTCCAGACTCGTAGAAAGGAAAAAAGGAGGTTGACGACTGGAAGGCAAGAGCAATAAGCCTTCACTCTTTTAGGCTGAAGGCTGACATGCATGCAGTTAGGTAAAAACACTATACGAAATTACAGTTTGAACGTAAAACAGTCCGTAGCAGTATGCTAAGGGAAAGTTCGGCCCAAATTCCAAATCCAAAGACCTAATACCTCCTGTCCAAAGGGATCAAAAAAGGAGTGAAATAACCACATTAACTGTCGATGGGTCATAAAAGCCGCACGACTCGAGGGGCTTGCAATACGTAGTGAGTCGTCTTTCCATTACCTTTGATAAAAAGTCCCTAGAACGACTTTAGTTTAACTTAGGAAAAAGATTTGCGGAACTTCACTGTTAATCGCGCCCTACTAACCATTTGAGCTTGGAGTATCAGTGAAAACTCGTAAAATATTCCACTATGACGTGTTCATTGTGCACACTGCTGTAAGCATAATGCATTTATGGCCATTTCTTTGCATAGACCACACGTGTGCTGTATAAAAACACAAACTGGTGTCAACAGAATCATTGACAGGAGCATTCATGCCGTGGCTACGATCGTTGCAAAGCCCAGGGGACAGATGGTCTGCATCACGAGACGCCGTTGGTTTCTAGCTCCAGTGGAACATTCATATGCCTCATTAATGCAGCAAAAAATTAGCAAAAAGTTTTTTTGACTAAGCATTTTCGAGGGAACAATACACGACCCTGGGAACATCAAAAGCTACTTCGAACAATATTTATGGCAGAAAAATGGTAGACTTTACAATGAAACAGAAAGCGCATTAAGGCAGTGGGTAAGGGCATATCCCTGCCTATTACAAACACTTTTGCCGAGACCGAATTTGTATAAACACAAACTTCGAAAGCCCATAGTGCGGCAGATTAACTGAAACAGACTTTCCATGTAAACAAGGCGAATTGAAGCGGAGAATTGCAAATGATTCTTAAAGCCGTTCTTACATCCTAAGCATTTAACAATGCATCTTAATCATTCCATAACGTCAAGCTCCATCATTTTACTAATTTTTTTCACTCAAACGCAGTACTATATGGGTTGAAGGCGAGAGTGGATGTGCGCGTATGCATGTCTTGCTGTTCGCACGATGGTTTGTGTGCGTTCGTTCCCGAGACAGCTCCCACATCCACTTCACATTAGCTGCCAAAGTGGCAGTAAACCCACTTTCACACCCCTGGAGTGAATAAACCGAAATTAAAGTTAACTTCTTTCCTTCCTTCCCAAATAGTGCATTGTTGCAGTCGAAGAATATCCCTAACCGTTAGAGAGAGAGAGAGAGAGAAGGCGCTTTGAGCAATCTAAAATAGCCCTGCAGCTAAAGTTCGAACCGTCAAAACCATAAAATTCAACGTATCCAAGTTTTCTTGAAAAGTACTCAAAGTTGAAAAAAAATGTGAAGGTGAGAATGTAAAAAGTAAGTTGATTTCCCAATGCAAAGGCTAGTGATAGTGACAGCTGTTAGCGACAAGTAAGTACCTGCTGCTATCTGGTCGGAACATGCGCGATTAGGCAAACAAACATGCCCTCAGCATTGTTTACTGTCTTCAAGTTACATGCAAGAAGCAGCTACACCTACCAACCACATACTGCGCTTTGAATGATTAGCTGAAAGTCTACTGTTATTGTAAACATGCAGTATCATTTCTTAATGCAAGCAGTTCAATTCGGTTTTAGTATCTTGAAACGAATTGCCGCCTACTACCTTCATTTACTTAGCTAATTACTAAAAAACTCACCTTTAGAAGTGGCGATTGTAAGTTAGTGTACAAAAAATTAAGCGCCTTCATTCAAAGGAAAGGGTTTCTTCTTTTCGACTGGTACTCTAATGTAAATATGCATCAAGTTACTTTCTCTGCCTCCCGAATTTTTACTCATACATCTCATGAACCTTTCTTAATGCCTCTAACGTCTGTCGCCTTCCGCATTCCAAAATGCGATTGGCGAAATGAAAATTTTCCTGCTTGAGGCAAACATGAGGTTATTCATCAGCCGTGGAAGCACAACTGGGATGTGTAGCGCATTACCCTTTTCACTCCATACCACAGTACGGGGAAATTGCTAATACAATATTACTCTCATGCCATAATCGCATAGTAAAGTCACATTTACCAACGATGCAGGCAATTAACCGAGTGGGCGTTGTTTGCATGCATTTATATTGCAAAAGGAACCTATTGAAACAGAAACGAGAATCAAAGGCAAAGTACCATTTACTTATTTGAGTATTTAGAGTAACTGTAACCTCAAGTGAGCCAATTCAAATCCCTAAATTTAAGAAAAATATTTCCAAACGAGCTATGGTAACTTAAACAGTTTCTTAAAGTGAAACATTTTGAGGCACTTTGATATAGTTCATGAGTATACACCATTTCAATGGCAATAATCGAGCCGTATTGGACGCCTCTGTTAAAGGAGTCAGCAGGAGGTAAGTAGAGGTAGGCAAAGCTTCATGGGTTGCATTTAAGCTTATTTTGGACAAACCTTCTAACGAATACGCATACGCCTTTGGTTAGGGTTAATCGTCAAACGGTCACACAACAAGGTACAGAGAAGGCTGACCTTTGAGGCTCGATCTTTTCAATGAGATGGACAAATTGCGCCAGTTAAACAGTGTTATCGATAGGTTTTCATTTTCGCTGACCGTAGACTTGTTAATGACATCATGGGTAACAAAAGTTTACCAACAAAATCGAAATCAATGCTCTTAAAATGTTACCTCTTTATCCAAAACCTCATATGCTGACTCACGCCGTACCAAATTTGATGCGCGGGTCATAACGCCGCTAGACCGACCCACTGCACTAATCGAAAGGCGAATTCGTTTAGCCCACTCCTTCAGCCAGCCAATCGGATTGCGACCACAGCGACCCGCGGACACATACACGCGTAAAAGGCAGCCCAGTCATCAAAACATACAAAATTGTACGCTTTCAGTGGCTAGTGCCTGCTTATCCACGAGAGGAGAAAATGAAACGGCAAAATGTCCGCACTCTGGCTCTCATTGTATGCACATTCACCTACTTGGTTCTCGGAGCAGCCATATTTGACGCTCTCGAATCCGACATGGAGGGCACGGAGAAGGAGAGACTACAGGCACAGGAGAAAGAGTGGCAGTTGAGGTACAATATCACCGCGGAGGATTTTGAAAAAATTACTCAGTTGGGAATCCAGTTAAAGCCATATCGTGCAGGAACACAGTGGAAGTTCGCGGGTGCTTTCTACTTTGCCACAACGGTTATAACAACAATCGGTGAGTTCTATGGTAACACATCGAGTTTTACCGAACATTGTGGCCTCACAGATAGGCCAAACGTCACGCAGCTTTGCTCCATTGGCACGGGGAGGTGACATTATCAAATAGTGTCAGGCGGAGCATAATGAAAGCATGCCATCTGCTATTAAGAGCTACCAAATGAATTTTACTAACCGATTCCTTTTTAACTACCAAAAATACAGAACAAATGCTGCTTTCTCCACAACTGGTCGGTACCGCGCAAGAGCTCATAAAATGAACAAAAAAGGAGATTGGAACCGTTACGGCGCGTTAAAACGAAATGCGTTTACGGAAAGGCGTAAGCACGTTTCCCATGACCTATTTTCGTTGCCCGAATACAGCAGTGACGCACGTTAGCTTAGCTTCATTCGTTCCCTCCAAAAGTACGTTCTCAGTTGGATGGGTCGCTTATGTTACTGCCCTTGAGAAGGGTGAACTTATGAAGTGCTTAGTGTTTCGTAAAAGTCTTCCCCATTTCAAATACTAAAAGCGATGAAGACCAACTGTTAGGGACTGTGCTAAAGGTGAAATAAAAATGCTTCCCACCAAAGCTCATTCAAAATTCGAGGCGCAGTACTGCTTGAATGAAGCAAAATTTCGAGGAACTCGATGGCCACTAATTAACAACGCACTTTCTTCCCAAGAAAAATTGCGACGCGGCAACACTTTGCGATTATGCGACAGCTGGTCTGACGGTCTGTTTTTCAAAACATGGTATAGGCGTTTTAGCGTAGGCCGACGGTAAAAAAGCGGGTGCTATGAATCTCAAATTTATCTATTCTTATTTAATGGGACATCTACGGTTGACCCTTGGGTTCCAATCCTCATTGTGATCGAACAGCGAGAACATGCCCTTTTGGAGGTGCCCCTTAGCTGCGCACGAGCGATAATGGGTTTCACGACGGGTTGCAGCTAGGATGTTTATTTATTTGCAAAACGTAGCCACAACAGTTAACCTTTTCGAGTCCACTCCAAAGTTACTTGCATTAAGGCATGGATTTGATGATAAAAATATTTGAAACAGGCCTAACAGGGGCAATGAATTGTCACTTTGTTTTCACTTGGGAAACAATTTATGAATGAGTGTTTTACAAAGCACTGCTATGCAATATGCTGAGAAGTGGCTGGCAGGACAGAAATGTGCATTTAATCGCAAATGTTCGTGAGTTTTGGTAGACTGGAGCTCCAAAACAGCAGTCGATCCCTTAACTTGGTGTAAACACTATGGCAAAAAAGTAGGTGCATTCAAGAATTTCTTTAAAGTATTGGTTCTACAACTCCACATTTGCATGGCTGTGCTTCAGATTGGAAGGAATGGAATGGTTTCCTTTGATGTAAACCCTATGGATGCGTGGATTTGATAGCTGTTGCGCTTGCCATCGGTTAATTTGTTTTGCAAGATCACGACGAATATATAATTCGGGATCATAAATAAAAGCACCGTCCTAAGCGAGTTTTTTTGAGAGTCCGAAGTAGAGTTCTCCATCGAAAGGTTTAATTCGGTAGCACAAACGATAAAAATCATATCGCCAGTAGAAATAAAAGTTTCCTGCCTATGGCCTTCGAGGTGCATTTTGTAGGCGATGATAATCGACTCCACCTGGTGATGTGTTAACCGCAGCTTTGCTCGGAAATTTCAAGCATGGGAGTGAACAATTGTGAGAACTATTTACTCAATGCTGGCAGTTATGGGTTGCCATCTGAGCCATTTGATGCCATTTTAAGATACATGAACCTCGGCATTAACAGTTTTTACAATAATTGCGGTTAATGCAACATTTGCTGGTCGCCATTTAAGCTACTACAGTGGACGCGCTGGGGATAAGGCCATCCTCTAACTGGGGTACTGAGAGCAAGTGCCTGGTCTCCCAACAGACACCGCTACCTGGTCGGACAACTCATGCAGCATTACCAATTCATTAGTAATGCCATTTCACTAATTTGGTGCGATCGCAAGGACGATAAGTGTGTGTTGCACGCCAAAAGCATGGAGGCGATTTTGTGGACTGGACAGTAGAAAGAAGAGCCATTCACGTTGGTCTGCTATTCTGTATTTTGGATGCTCCGATTTCTGACAAAGGGCTCTATTTACTTCAAATAGTATTACCTCTGTAGATATGATGGGAGTGGGCAAAAGTATGCTTTGAGGAGGCTCAATAACGCATTCTGCATTGACCTACTCACTTCACCATGGGAAATATCTCATAAAAGACCTTTGTTAGATCTTAGTGCAATGATGAAAATGCGACTATTTTTCACTAATGCATCTGCTTATTTTTTTATGAGAGTAGACTCAAACTACTCAAACACCCAACACATCGCGTTATAAAGATGGAATCTTGCACCAAATTAGCGTCCTGACCAGCTAATCACAATTTTACAGCGCCATGACAATCCATTTCACTGGTCCAATAACATCATAGACCATGTTCCGTTTTAGTGAAGGAATTGAGATGCAATTGCTGCGGCCACTCCGATTCGATAAAACAAATTAATTGGTAGAAGCTTTGCTAAGTTTTTTTTTATTTTTTCTGCTTCAGGCTATGGACACTGCACTCCCAAAACCGTGGGAGGAAAGATATTCTGTATGATCTACGCCCTACCCGGCATCCCCTTATGCCTCGTCATGTTCCAGAGCATTGGAGAGAGAATAAACACCCTCATAACGCGCTTCCTTCGCCGCATAATCAGCCTATTAAACTGCAAAAGCCAGACAGTTTCTCAGACCCATCTGATTTTTGTCAGTGCCAATGTTGTCACTATTGTCCTGACCGCTGGTGCTGCAGTGTTTGCTCAGTACGAAAAATGGCACTACCTCGATGCAGTCTATTACTGTTTCATCACTCTTACAACCATCGGGTTTGGGGATTTTGTGGCTCTCCAAAGGGAGGACTCCTTGGCCAAAAGACCCGATTATGTTGCTTTTAGTCTTATCTTTATCCTATTTGGATTGACCGTAGTGAGTTCTGTAATGAATCTTCTTGTGCTGCGGTTCCTTACGATGAATACGGATGACCAACGAAGGGATGACTTGGAGGCAGCAGCCCAAGCTCAGGAGTTGAGACGACTTCATGGTGATGTCATTCATTCGGTCATCGGAATGACTAACCATTTGCCACCAAATTGTCATGACGATACAAGGCAGATTACGAATTCCATTCAGAGTAAAGAGTTGTCGAGTGTAAAAGAAGTTGCAGGCATGAAACACCAACCTGTTAGGTATTCGTATGGTGAAGACGTAATGGTGAACCAATTTCAACCCATAGAAACCCAACATTCAGCTGTCATGCTTCATGTGGAGAAGTATTTTCGTTCATTTGCACGCCTGTTCAGTCATGAAAGTCATCAGACTTCCAACTTACCGACTGGAACTTTCCTGAAGAATACTGAAGATCGAATATCACCAACTGCCTCATACACCGAGTCAGAAACCTATGACGAGGAGTACTCCCCCTGGATAAGCCAATCAAAGGAGAAGACTGAACTCGGACATGGTCAGCATGTCTTTCGATTCACGGATTCGTGCTACCGAAACCTACAGAAGATTAAAGAACCTAAGGCGGGCCTGAGAACTGAGAGTGTTGGACGTAAAACCAAAGTAGACGACAATACACCATTAGCACTTCAAAGGAACTGTGAACAGGAGACAAAAAGCGAGGCACATACCGACCCGAACATGGACGATTGCGAGTCACCACCTCGCAAGTATTTTCGATATGCCTCGTTCGACCGAGCGTCATGTTGACGCAGCTCTGTTTACTGCCATTATTTTACTGCATTTTGACCGGTAAATGTTTGTATTCTGTGATTTTATCAAGATACATTAAATATTTTACGAAATCAATTTTTACGGGCTAGCTCATAACCCCATGCAAATGGAATACATTAACTTCATCAATTTCCACACCTCAAAAACCATCTATCGCTTTATGCAAACTCATCCTCTTTCCAAAAACTTTTTCCGACAATTTTCGGCTTTCGATGCTGAGTCGATGGAGTTAGTCTGGACGGATTTCTCTATCCTCAATACGGAATGGAAAATTTGCCGCTTGCTGACGTATGTCAAAGTCAGTCTGGCCATTGGGTCATAATTCCAGACCCGTTTGGTTCTGCGCTTGTTTCAGAAATGAAAATGACACAATCTTTCTCTTCATAGTCGTCACTACAAATGTCCTTTTATATTTGGCTCTGCAGATGTGTCAATCTTCTTCTCTTCTGCCTCACAAAAGTGGCACCTTCTGGTGATTATTTCTTCAATTTCTCATCGCAAGAAGCATTCGCCTTAAAAATCCAGCTTAGGAACGGAGCACTTTATATAGCGCTGTATCCCAACTCATTCTTGATAATCGGATTGCCTTTCTTTTTTTCACATTAAGGAACTATTCTTCGGAAAGTAAGATGAAGTAATTCATACATTACATAAGTTTCACTTTCGAACCCGATCGGTTAGGTGTTACAGCTCTGGTCCTAATAGTATCTCCTCTCCTCTTGCAAAGCAGACTCGTTTATGTTCATCACGAGGACCTACAATTTCCGACTCATTTGGACTTGGGACAACAAGTGATTGTGGGACCTAGGCTGCCCCAGGGGGAAGAAAGAAAAATAGAAGCGCTTAAATGAGGGCCATCGTCAGTGATGGCTTAGTTAATCAGTGCTAGTAAAATAACGAAGTGGACCAATTCCGGAAATATGCACAGGGATGAGGGATGCACCTCATTGGTCTACGTGAACATCCTCATCCACTTGTCACACTCTCGCTCCAAATAAGGCATCGGAGTTTTATTTGAGGCACTAGTAGTACTTAAGGTAAAGGTAGATGTTGTGCTACGGACTGTCCAACTATCTTTAAGATCTTGAAGATGCTTTGATAAGGACGATCCGCGTTGAAACGGGTCTACAAAAAGACAACTTGCACACTGATGCTGATGCTAATTCCCTTCATTCGACATGAACCCTCTGTGTCGAACAAAATATCAGGCTTCTAGTGCTTTTTGCTGTAAAATCATTCTTCTTAGCCCATCCTAATTGTTTTTAGGTGGCGTGGCCTACAAAACCGTCTCCTAGTCGGGAAAACCGTACTGAGGCATTCATTTTCATATTCACTAACGCTGGACTAAATAAGGATCACAAGACACACACCAGAAGGGGTCTCCTTCTTTAGTAATTGGCTCTAAGAGCTAGCTTTTGGAGAGTAAACACTTAGGCTCGAAGACTGGGAATGCCATTTAAGTAGACTAAGAATAGAGACCAAGATTGGGGGAAAAAAACTAAAAAATCCATTAAACATGCTGCTTCTCACATGAAAGCAAAAAGTCAGGATAAAAATTAACTTTGAGGAGCAAAAACGTAAGCACAACGGCTTAAGTTGGCATAATGAATTCGCTGCAAAAATACGGGAATAATGTAACTCCAAGCACAGCACCAGAATTTACTATAGTCGCACTATTGAGGCTGGTAACTCCCCAAAATCCCCTTTTTATGACAAGGAGGCTTATCGACTTGACCAGGGACCAAGTAACTGTTTACTATTGCCATTTGTGGACTAAAGATACAACACTTGATACTCCAGTACTATCCTGGTAGTCGTGTTTGATGGACAGTAAAAACGCCCATTTATTTACAAAATAATCCTCCTCTCGTCTTGCAGCCAATTAAATGCACGCGATTCAAAGGGAATTCCCAATTGGCCATTGAAGAAGGCGGACACTTTCGCTCTGATCATGTATGAAGGCGACTGTTTGTGATCAGATCAACTTAGAGGTTTCCGCTTCCTGGTTAAGGTAAACACTAGTCGTTAGGATTTTTAATACATATTGGGCCCACTTTGATGTAAAATGATACCTGCTGGGAAGATGTGAGATTGAGTTGGATTTGAAAAACCATTCACCAGATCCATTTGCCACTGGCTCCACGTAAACACTGTGGGTGGATAAAATTAAGGTATCACTTGGTAGATGCATTTGAGCGGATAGACAAGGATTTGATATTCTATGATCTTTCGTAAGCTGCACCGATTGGCCAGTCAGTGCGATGGTCAGAAGGACGGCTATAACAGTGAGTTGAAGGAGAATCCTTCCGCCTCATCTTCCCTCCTATGAGATGGCGTCATGGGCTACAAAATGAGTGCTGAAGCCGACACATTGTGTCTTTGCGTAACAATATAAGAGAAAGAAAAGTGAGCTTGACTAAACTGTTGAAAATCAGCTTTATTGCACAGCACAGCTGGGGTATATGGAAAGAGTTAATTTGACACCAACATTTGACTGTAATCGTATTCATCTTAAGCGAATGCATAAAAATGAGCCCGAAGTGGAAAAGAACTAATAATAATGCGACCTATTTCGTATGTATGCTAACAGTGAAACAGTTGCATTACCTATTTCGGAATCGTGCTACTCCTTTTTCGACGCATTTATGGCGACGTCTGGCTCTCCATCCACCGCTGCCGGTTGGAGTGGAGACAAGGCTGACGTGAGGACAGTTGAATGACTGGAATCTCAAAACACATGCATTCAGAACATGCTTCTTAGCCCTAATACGTCTTCATTTACATTGGCACGCGGAAGGTCAAAAATTGAACAAAATTCCTTAACCATCATGTTTTCCATTTCTCTACTGTGAAGCCTTTCCATAAAGTACTGAGGTTTCTAATTGTATACAAAACTAACTGTACCAAGCATTCAATCACTCGAATAAATAATTACTTTAACAACGGTCAAAATACTGGCACTAGTGCTCCTTTGTCGAGGTAAACATGACCATGTAATTGGAGTGGAAGGCCTACTATCTTCTATAAGGTGTCTGGTTGGAACAAGGTACGCAATATTTGGGGCCTTGAGGCTGAGCCATAACTGATTATGTCTCAGTCGTGTTGGCTCTCTTCGAAGGGTGCTCTTTGAAGGGTGCTCTTAGTTATCCCTTTGGGTGACGTAATCCACACTTCAAGTAGGTAAATGGCTTCACAACATCCATTCGAACACTGCGTGGAGCTCTGTCCAAAATGCAACACGAATTCGCTTAAACAGTTTGTGGGATGCCACGTTGAGTTGATCGAATGTGGTCAAGATGTTCGGAGGTAAAGGCAAGGTTGGTTGCAAAAGGGAGTGAACAACAGGTTTAGCGTTGTTTATCTGCTTTACTTGATATGAAAAGGGCTTTAATGTTCGCCTCTTTAGTCTACTGATTGGAAACCTTCCATGACCTGTGGTCACGTAAATGGAAGTTCGTTGTGCATGATTCATGGAATTCATTTAACACTGGTATCGAAAAGTATCGACGAATCCTAAAGAAAATTGAAACGACTTGAGGTGAGAACAGTCGAGTGAAAAGAAAAAGAGGTTGTCGCGAGACTTATCTGTCTGCCTTTTCATCGCCTTTTTTGCATGAAGAAGACGCAATGGATTAGTACACTTTAGGACAAAGCGAATCCCCTTCCACACAAAACTGTACTCGCTGCAAATCATAATTGTGGAAAAATCGCCCTAAACTAGAGAACCCTGGATTCAGATCAGTGAAAAAGTGAGGAGGAAGATTTGTTTATGGCAGTGGTCCGGTAATCGGGGATTTCTATTTACATTTATCTGACATTTAAACGACAGTGCGGGATTTTCTGCCCTTCCCTTTAGCTGGCCCATGAAATACGAATCTACTCCTACAACAACGTAGGAACACTTCGAGAAAGATGGAGTACTCTCGTCTATTAAGAATTGCTTTCCTACGCCTTGTTCACCAAATTTTTGCAGTATTTCTTCAATAAGCGCGTTATCAATAATGAGTCGAGATGAACGGGTTTTCCTGGACCTATGACCAGTTTCAATAAGTCCCTCTTATAGTTTTGAGGGTGTAACAGGCTGACGCTTTATTGCCACGCATAATAAGGAACTTATGGAAGGCTCTATGACCCACAGACAGTCGAAAATATATAGCAGAAATAGCCAAGTGAATTGCAGTAAACACATACGGAGTTAAAAGTATTAAGTTGAATCCGTGGTGCTGGAAGCAAAGGTCAACGCAACAACATGTTGACTGTCCGAGAACTCCGTGATAAAGGCCGAGGAGTCAATGCCGACTAGCAGAGCCACAACAATGGAGTCCCAAACTGAACCAAACCAGACCAAGTGCATAATAAATACTGGAAGCTTAACATCCATTACCTGTAAGTTAGTTACTTGATTTTATTAAATAAGATTACAATATTGAAGGTCTCTGCGTCAGTAAATGGACCTCTTCGATTGCTGTAAGTCAAACTCCAGGTAAGACATATTCTATAACTTGATTTTCGGAAACTCATTGGCATCAAAAGCGAAAGATCATTGTTTTAGCTTGCATGACGAAATCCTCGAGAGGAGAGAACCATTTGCAGCGTTTTCTTAGCTAACCATAAATCATTTCATACGTTAGCTTTCCCAAAAAGAAATACAAAAAACGAAATAGAGCGCGATTTCTGGCATTGCCTTGTGAATCCGTTTTCAACAAATTTACAAACTTTCCTTTTTTTCTCGGTCGGTGGGAAACCCCAACGAACCGCAGGATAAGATTTTGGAACAGTGTCTGCCATTCAGCATTCTGGAATCCATCTTTTGTCCCTTCCAGCTTAACTGAACTTAATTGCGCTTAGATACGTACAAAGTGGGGCGTCACTCTTTTGCTATCACTATTGACATATTATTGAGATGTGTGATCAGACCATCAGGTACTTCTGGCTGTTGAAACAACCACCCGTCATCCACGGCATCTTATTCGCATTCGTGACCTTCTGACCAACCGGTTGGTGAACTTGGCGATGTGGTGGTTAATAACCTTGGGTTACAGTGGCTCACGAATCAGTTCATGTGTGATCTGACAAAGGGAAATATTTAACAATCTGGTAGTGTGTTGTGAAGAAAATGAGATGAACGTGTTTTGAAGGAAATGATTTTAATCTTAACGAATCGTAGGACTTCTATTTTCATTGCTCTACCGCATAATATTTTTTTAAATAAGCAAAGTGATAGGAAAAGTATGTTCAAATGCAGATCTTCAAAACGGAAACCACCCAAACGATGCACTGAAGGCGAGTATAAGGACAGAGGATGGTGGGAAATCACAACCACAATTTCGAAGCTACGTAATGCGGTTTTATGAAACATCAGTGAAAAGCAAATTGTGGACTCCTTCCGTGACAAATCAACGACTTTCACGACAGAAGCGTAATGCAATGAAAACAGCTTCAGATTTGATTTTGTCAAAGAGAATGGAATCGACTCCTCACTATATAGATGACCAATGGGTTTTTGCAGAGGCAAATAGGCTGACGTCAGCACCCTATTCGAGTGCGGTCCCAATTCGAAGCACCTCTCAAAATTTGTTTACTACAAGTGACACCACTCCAAGTGAACCGACTCCATGTGTTGAGTTAAACATCAAGATCCAAAGGTGATAGAGGCACAAGACCATCCCAAGTGCAGGACCAACTGTAGCTGAACTGACGCCAGCAATCTCAAAGCCATGGCATCGAGTACTCATTACTTTCATGCGCAACCCTGTCTACGAATCAATGGATAGCAACACCCATAACGAATCAGACCATTATGGAGACTAACTTTGCAGTCAGTAATTGTTTAGTCACCATGCGACCAAAAACAAATTGTAGTGACTAGCGCCCCAGACCGCGTGGTAAAGGGTTGCCACTCGCACCACCAGACCCACCGTGGAGATCAACAAACAAATCCCATACAAGTCCGGATACCAAATAAAGCCTCGACAACTAAAGTATCTAATTTGTGCTAGAGATTAACACAATGATTTCACTTTACAGCTAACATCAGGCCTAATTAGCAGATTCATCCAAATAAGGTTCCATAAGTAAACACAAAATGTCACAGATTTGGTTACTTATAACATATGAGTAAAAAGGAGAAAGCTAGGTCGCATTGTCAGTGCTGGAGATGAAAGTGAGCCCAGTAGCCGGCTTCCGTTTTCTAAGCTGTGGATTGGTGAAACTCATACCAGAAGTTCTCCGCTTCTTTGACGACGAAGAGGTAGGATCTTCAATGCTGATTGAAGAAATAAAATATTGTGGGAAAATCGTAGACTCCGATAGCAATATAAATATCAGCAGGTGGCAGCAAGTTAAAATAACTATGCATTCGAACCTCCAAAACATAATCGCTAGATTTTAATGAACATCCAATTCAATAAATCCTATCAATAACTTCTCCAAGACATTCAAATCGGCTTTCCAACCATACGACTCCTATTTTCAATTGGGGCACTTTTACACACATCAAAAAGTATGTAAAAATACGGGAATGTCAACCACAAATTGTGAAACATAATATGCGAAACTCGATAATGAAAAGAAATACAAGTGCACAAACTAAATACAGATGCTCACAAAATTGCTGCGGAAAGTAAAAATAGTGCCGAATATAAATCCTAAAATTAACCACCTAAATGCAGGGCACGCAGTTCAAAAGCGGTTCAAGAATGCAAAAACAGCTCAGAAGACTTATCTACCATAAAAGAAGTGGAAAATCCCCCAGTAAGCAAAGTTTACGCACTTTAATTGATTGAGGAATTCCGAATTTGCCTTCACCAGCTCCTCAACGCGAGCTTGTTTGCGAAGAAGTGCTTTTGCAAGTGCTACGACCAAATCAGTTTCGTTTTCAGACCGAGAAAGTTGTAAAGATAGCTGATGTGACAAAACTGATCCCATAGTAAATCTGACGTTTTCTGAATCAACATCCTGAAAAGAATATCTCTTCCCAGAGATTCGATCTCTTGCCCATATGAGGAGCGAATGGATGTTGGAGAAGTCGAATTTGCGAGCCATTTCCCTAAGGAACAGAGTTGAAAATGATCCGCTGTAACCACATCCTTTGTCAGGAAAGAATGCAAACACATGTAGAGCCTTATTGATTTCCGAAAAAAATATGACTTCCTCATCAACATGGACAAAGTCCCTTGTGTTGGACAAATCTAAGCATTGAGACAAAGACATAGGGCATATATAAACAACAAATCGCCCGAATTTGTGCGTCCGTTCAAAGAATTGACATTTCACGTAAAACACGTAGCGAGATAATAGCCAGACTTCGAGCCACAATAAAATTACTGATAAGAACAAGCTCCCTTCTTCAAGTTACGACAAAAACGAGAGGCCCGATTGGAGAACAGCAAATGTAACGCAAGACATTAAATAGAACCCGCTTTTAAGAACGAGACCTCGAGTTCAGGAAGTTCAGTGTCTGTCCCAAATCTGAAGCCAGCCAGTTTCAACATGGTTGCAAAACCGCACAAATTAGGCACCTTTTCTCACCCAAATTCTTGTTGCAAGATATGTTATTAACCTACTTCATTTAAAATTTTAAGAAAGAAAATTTTATATAACTTATCGTAGAAATATTTTATAATTTTTTAGGTATAGCTTAATTTGCAAACAACAAGAATTTAAATTCCACTTTTAATTTTTGAAATTAAGTAGAGTGCTGATGGTTTATCTTTTCCACATTTATTAATGTATAAACAGCGCTGCTTCCTATGTGTCAAGGTCGGCGTTCCCAAAATATCTGAAGGTGCTCTATGTCATAGTCTCGGTTCCTATGAATGAAAACTTGGACGTTGCTTTTTTTGGGGATAAAGGTAATAGCGCACCAATTGTAAAACTTAAGGTAACAAGCCAAAGCTTGCTGACAATGCTTTGACTAAAACATATACAATCGAGGAAGCCGTGGAAGCATATGGATTGGGATGGTTTCAAATTAAAGTGGTCACTATTTGTGGGATCCTACAAGTACGCTTATAAAGTTAATATATGATGGTTGGCTTTGATCATTTTGCGGTTCGGTAGTCTCCTTTTGCGTTGCATTCGTTGGTATCTTCAGTGAAATTTTGATCCACGGATTGTAGCTAAATGCAATGATAAGGTTTTTTCGAACTGATTATGTACAAATTTGTTTTATTGATTGTTAGTATTTGACAGTTTAAATTTGCTGTCATACTGAGTTGAACCAACACTATCTTAAATCTTACGTCATCATTATTGCCTGCTTTCTGATACTCAAAGCACTCCTTACCACTGAGTATGTCATCGCCCTTTTCTGTGTAATTTAAATTCAATGCATGACTGTACTCTGTTAACTGTTGGTAAGGTATTTATTTATACGTTTTTTACTCTATTTGTACTCCTGTAGCTTCTTTGTCTTTTGTTTTCCAAATCTCTTAATGAATTTATTTAATTTAGGCTGCAAACGCTATGGAAATGTTGCTTCTTTCTGTTTTGGGGCCAGTGCTCCGATGTGCTTGGCAGCTGAATTCCTCGCAAGTGGCACTTATCACAACCGTACGTTGCTTCTTTGAAATGCTCTTCCTAAAGCATTTTATATAGCTTGGCGTTTACTGAGAGCGACGTTAGTCGTGCTCTAACAAAATTTTACCGCAATAATAATGTCGTTCCACTTTTCTCAAGATATTGAGTCTCTACTGTAAATAATGATGTTTCTACATTTATAAGCATAAGTAAATGCTGATTAAGACGCAAAAATTTTCCAAATACATTATATGAGTGTGTTTACAACATAACTTTACGAACCCAAAGCCAAGCATATGTGGCGTTGTCAAACATAATCAAAGTAAGGTTCAGTCCGCTATCTCTACTGTCATTTGCATAACTATACATCTACTTTGCTTCAACTTTGTATGGGACATGCCACATGAAGCAGAGACCATACTAAAATAAATATTACATTGCAGGTGGTTTTCATTGGCTTCTTTTTCGGTGCGCCAATTTGGGGCCTGTTCTCAGACAGATTTGGTCGAAAGAGGGTGAGTTTTATACTTTCGAAGTTCAAGTGTCCAAATACTCAAATCGAGGTATTATTTGTCCAATATAAAAACGAGATTCGCAGTACATAAAGTAGTTTTGGCCGCATTTATATTAATTGATGTTATTCGAGAAGCTTGCACACAAACAATTCTAAAGTCCATTCGTTTTATCTGCGAATTATAGAAAAACGTAGTTTCTATAAAGTCGTTTTTTAGTCATCATTTCCATTTTTTTTGGCCATTAGTAATCACTGCAAACATTAGTATACCCTGGCATCCCGATACAATGACCGAGGCAGACTCGTTTGACGATTATGATAAAAAACCCGATTTGCCTAGTATTTTCGCGTCTTATTTTCCTATTTTTGAGCAGTGCAGATATCCTGCATAGTATTGGATCCGAAAAATAAAGGATCAAATATAATCGCTGTCATGTTGAAATGACTTTGTGAACAAACGTAGCATGGCAAAGCCAAGCACTGAGTTTATTGCGGTATATTACGCAGATTAGAGCCTAGGTTTGACTACTGATGTAAACTTCAACGGCTGAGAGGTCTCAGGTCAAAATAGTGGCGCAGGAAACCGAGGATACTAAGATTGTTGAGCCTTATGCTTAAGAAAAGTAAATAAGATTAAAAGAAGATAACTGCAATTACAAACCCCTTTACTTAATCCTAGTCTAACTTACTTTGACTTTAGTGCTTTGCTCTCGTGCTCTCGTGGGTTTCATATACAGGTCTCGCTACTGCTGTGAGTCCTAACTTCATCTGGCTAATCATTCTCCGTGGACTGGTCGGATTCGGCATTGGTGGAGAGGGTAGCGCGTAAGATGAAGGAAATCGGTGGTTCTCCACCCCTCAAAATTATTTATTTGCATTTATGCAAATTAAACTTGTGATAATTCTCTCCATGAATGCGTTTTTCTCGTGGGCTCAGGTGACTGCTTCACGAAACAGCAAATTGAAAACATCTGGTTTCTTTAATTTAAAGTCGACAGGCATGCGTGACCTGAATTCTTGCGTTTGCTGTTCTGAACACGTTATACTGTGTTCAAAATAATAGGTTCAAAGTATATTATTTGCTCTCATTGATGCTGCTGCATCCTGAGTCCTATAATCACACGTCGACACCTTCTAGCAGCTGATTGATGGCCTAGAAAGAATCGGCACTGTGTTAATAATAATTTGCTCAGTGTTTCGTACAAACTTTCTTTTTAGGTATACGTTGATGTCTGAATTTCTTCCAGTCAAATATCGAGCCAAAGTTTTAATTGGAATTTCGGTAGGCTGAGATTTTGAGGAGGAGGTTTCAGGAGTGTATCGTCCACTTCATCAATAAAATGTATGCATATTTTACAGATATTTTGGGCGATCGGCAGTACTCTTGAAATCGGTCTGGCCTTTTTTGTTTTGCCCAAATTAGGATGGCGGTGGTTGGTTTTCTTTTCAGCACTACCTCTTGTTGTGTTCTGCTTCTTAACCCCGGTAATTCTGCCTTTGGCTTTGGTTTTTGCTTGTTACTTTAGTAGCTCTCGGATGTTTACAATTAAATAAAGACACATGTCTATAAAAAATGCATGCTTAACTAACCAAGACTGTTGTATAGACGCCTTAATCTAGATTTCTTACCCCGAACCTTAGTGTCTACCTGAGTCGGTGCACTATCTCATGACTGCAAACAGGAAAGAAGAAGCAGCGCAAATAATAAGAGAGATGGCCTCATTGAATCGATGCATCCCATTGGAGGGCGAACTCGTCAACTCCTCCCCAATGACCATTGTGAGTTTGCAGTCCTGCCTCCGTGCCTATGCCATCCACAATATGACTTTTAGTGGATATATTCGACTTTCTCTGCTGTAAATCCTTTTCTCCAAATGGCATCTTTCAGACTATCTTGTCTAATTTAGGCCTTCTTAGCTGTTCGTGTAAGAGGAGATTTTAGAGACCATCGCTTCACCACGAGGAAATAGGCATTTTCATTCACCTTCCATTGTTTTTAATGCAATGTCTCGCACTTTCTACCTAAAACCAAATCGGCACGTGAGAATTTCTGCTATTTCAATGCTAGAACTAAATGTGTCGTGAAGTTCCTTTCTAAGGCCTCTATAGACGTGTCCACCAATGACGGTAAACTCTTTCGTTGGGACATTCAATGGCACTCCATGTAAATGACTCCATCCTTCCTGAGACGGTTGTAGCTGTTTCTGACATCACATTTGATTGCATTCTAGTCCGTTTTATTGGTTGATGTGACCAATGTCTCGAATCCATGAAGTGAGACATGTAGATGCTTCGGACTTTGAACTGTTTGTTTTGTCCACGTTTCTCATTAAATCGTGCATGTTTTGTGTGAATGCTACATTTGGATAAATTTTTGCCCGAAACGCCCATCAAACTACAAGCGGTTAGAGGATCCACGACTGCTTCTCTGAATCCTTGCTCAAAAACGTTACCTACCAAATCTCATTTTTCGTTTGGCAAACGAGGGCACTGAACTCGGAAAGTTGTCACATCTCTGGGCTCCGGGCTATCGGCTATTGTCAGTGATGCAACCAATTTTGTGGTTCGGAGCTGCTTTTTGCTACTACGGCATTATTCTCGTCAGTTCAACTCTCTTCGCTGTGCAAGGCGCTTGTTACAAAGGTAGTCCTAGTGTACATTCATTTGCTACATTAATAGGAAATTGATTGCTGTAAGCACCTAGTGATGAAATGACACTTCTTTCATTGTTATGCACACAGCGGGGTCGCTCTTCCTTTTTATTTTGTGGGATGCACGTCTAGCAGAAGTGTTTCCTTGCACAAACTCTCTTATTTGATCCAACACTTCATTTCAAGTGCGCCATTAAAACTTGTTTTACTGCGGTTCATAGGAAAAGGTTTGCAAAAGAAAGTTTATTTTGCTTAAAAAGATAAGAAACGGAACCGACTTTCAGCCTTTGGAAATTGAAGAAGGACAGTGTAGCCCAATGATTCCATCCTATTTACGAAGGTTAGAATGGATTCGTATTGCCGGTGTGGAGTGGAGCGAGGACTCACAGCTGTCCGAAGGTCATGACATCCAGCAGAGCCCTAGCCATACAAATGAGTAGCTGAATGTGCGAAACCTTACTAATTTAAGCCATCATCGACAAATTTACTAGTTACGTAAACTTGCCCCAAATTATGCGCAAAACTAC